AAAGCTGCCTGGCAAAAAAGGACCTGGGGGTGTTGGTCAACAGTTGTCTGAATATGAGTGTGCCCAGGTGGCCAAGAAGGCCAACGGCATCCTGGCCCGTATCAGAACTAGTGTGACCAGCAGGACTAGGGAAGTGATCGTCCCCCTGTACTCGGCACTGGTGAGGCCGTACCTCGAATCCTGTGTTCAGTTTTGGGCCCCTCACTACAAGACAGACACTGAGGTGCTGGAGCAGGTCCGGAGAGGAGCAACAAAGCTGGGGAAGGCTCTGGAGCACAGGTCCTGTGAGGAGCAGCTGAAGGAACTGGGGTTGTTTAGCCTGGAGAAAAGGAGGCTGAGGGGAACCCTTATCGCTCTCTACAACTACCTGAAAGGAGGTCGTAATGAGGTGGGTATTGGTCTCTTCTCCCAAGTAACAAGCGATCGGATGAGAGGAAATGGCCTCAAGTTGCACCAGGGGAGGTTTAGATTGGATATTAGGAAAAAATTCTTCGTTGAAAGGGTTATCAAACTTTGGAACAGGCTGCCTAGGGAAGTGGTGGAATTCTCACTATCAGAGAAAATTCCACATACTGATTCCATTTTGCTTTGTTCTGAAAGAGTATCTATAAATAGCACTGTCCTGAATTTGTTATACTCTTCCAGATTTCTGATTCTTGACAGACAAATGTCTCCTAGATTAGCTGAGCTCTTTCTTGTTAATTGGTTGAATCTAATGAAGTAGCCCAAATAGTCTGTACCTTCTAATCTAAATCTTACGGGTTATGACCAATTCATTCTGTTTGATCATTCTTGAGTCTTTCCTGTGTTTGTCTATTAAATTTAGAAAGCACATAAAAGTTCTAGGAGGTTAAATGTATATCTCCTTTGGACATAAGTAAAGACAGGATTAAACTAAAATCCTTGAATTTTGTAAGCCTGGGAAATCCACTGATGTAAAGTATTTGGGGAATGCGATATAAGATATGCTTGGGTGTTATTTCATCTAACAAATAGCAGTTTTGCACTTAGGTTAAGTCCCTTCAGAGTACTTGTGGCCCTGACTACTAAGTTAGTTTCCTTGTAATTCAATTTATAGCAGTAATTCTTCCTTGGTTATCCCTTCACGTCTTGGGACCACAGATTAACTTCGAGAAACTTACGTAACAGTAAATAATGCCTGCTTTCCATAGAGAAATTGTATGGCTTTGCAAATCACTTCTCCTATGTCTCAGTCAAGGGAAACCCAAATGTGCATCTTGGGAGGCTCACTACCAAGTTGGGCTCAAGTCTTTGGCAGAGAAGGTGTCATAGATACGTGGAATGTGGTAGCAGCCTCAGCCATCATGGCCATTGGCTGGGTGGAAGTGTCTACAGCCTTGTAACAGTTTTCTGCTCACTGTGTTAATGAACAGCAAATGTTAAGAATTTGACCTGTCACAGAACAGAAATAGTAAGTCTTTCTGAGGCAATCAACTCCACTTCATAGATGTGTAAATAATGAGAAGTGTACTTTAATAGTTTTACATATTTCTCAGTAGGAGTTCCCAGTTCCTCAGTCATCTTCAAAAATCATGGTGAAATACACCACCACCTCCTTACCTCCCCCTCAGAAAAACCTCAAAATTAACATTTTTGGAAGACATAACATGGGTGATCTGGAATTGGATGGTTGGTAGACAAAGCCCAAAAGATCAGTAACTAGATATTTTTATGCAGAACTAGTAATACTCCCATTAACTGACTTTAATGCAGTGGGCTAAATTGCTTCTTTTAACTTAATGAGATTTACCAAAGCTAAAAAGAGATAAGAGTTCTTTTACTTGAGAAACAATTAGTTATGCTCTTGATTTGCTAACTTGAATATTCATCCTAGTAGGAGTTGAGACTTGTCCAACTGTTCTTGCTGAGTCCTGATAAACTTCTAAAGAGTGCGTTGTTTTTTCAGTTTGTTGTGCAAACTTATATTGGGAGGGGTGATTGTGAAAGAATTGTGTGTAATTATATGTCCCTTGCAGCTGAAAATGGGTGTATGCTGTGTTGTCTTGAATATACTTGATTCTTTATAATTTAATTTTTTTTCCCCCAGTGTACACGTCAGATCATCTCTGAAAAATTGGGTCGTGGCTCAAGAACAGTAGATCTCGAACTAGAAGCTCAGATAGATATGTTAAGAGATAACAAAAAAAAATATGAAAATATCTTGAAACTGGCACAGACGCTGTCCACACAACTCTTCCAGATGGTACATACCCAAAGGCAACTTGGAGATGCATTTGCTGACCTGAGTTTGAAATCATTGGAACTTCATGTAAGACTTTTTTAGTGTTAAAAAATGAAATGGCAGAGATGAAGATAAGCCAAATTGACTCATGCAGGGTATATAGTAGTTAGCAGCTATTTTTCTAAACATTGTAGTTAACAGTGTATTATATGCTCTTTGTATTAAAAGCTTATGTAAGTCACGTAAAACTGTAGGAACTTATTTAAATTACTGTAGCTCTTTATTGTTTCTTAAGTATTTGCCTTTAGTTTATGTTTGGACTCAAGAACTGACAACTTTCCTTTGTATAGAAAATGCATTTTACTATTTATTTTGCTTCTAATGAAATGTCATCAAAGTGTTCCAGAGTGTTACGTCATTTCAGTACAGGATGTCTTTGGGGAATATGCCTGGGAGTGAGCGGAACAGGGCACGTTACTCCACTTGTGCACATTGAATGTGAATAAATTATTTTTGTAGCGTATTCAAGCATTGAGAGTTCATCTCAGTGTGTTTTTTTTAATCAGAATTTTGCAAGTAATAGGCCTAATCTGCATTCTTACGTCGTTTGGAGTTTCTGAGCAAGAGAGGCAATCCTTAGATATCTGCATTTGGGTTGTTACGATTCCTTGGTTTAGCAGTTTGTGTAACACTGACATTTTTTGTTGCCAGTAATAAGACTGTCAGCTATAAGGAGAGAGAAGGTAGATGTTGTGTACAAAACATGGTAGCTGGCTTGCTTCTACATTGATTGTTCTGTACTTCCAAAGGTAGAGCAATTTGATACTGCTCCTGGTCCTTTGGAAAACCCATATTAAGGGTCTTAATGACTCCCTAAAACATAGCTGCTGAAACAGCCCAAATTGTCTTTGTGACTATTTAAACTTAAAATCTCTATTTTTCGCTTTTCATGATTGTCTGTTCCCATTGAGTTTTAAGGGAGGTGGTGGAGTTCATGCTTGCACCGAGGAAACTTGATCGATGGCTAGCTGAAAAAATTTGAGACTCCTGCACTGGAGTACAGGAATTTTTAATATTACAGTTTGACAGATGAAAATACGTGAAAGTAGAAGACTTCTAGCAGCTAAGAGATTAAATAATCTGCCAAAAGAAGAAGTTTTTAATAATCAGTTTACTCTTGACACAAATATGGGCATGTGGTTTGTGGCAGAACTTAGTGATTGTTATGAAGTATGTGCTGAAGTTGGATGTTTCTTGTGAAACGTGGATTAAATCTGGCATCATGATCTTGTTTAATGGATGGGGCTTTTTCCATTAATAGCTTGTAAGTTCTAACGGGAATACTGTTCTTCCAGATTCTTTCAGCATCTTGTACTGCTCTTGGAATTTGTTTCAGTCATTCATCTCCTGTGTAGATTATTGAATGGGGCTGTTGATGCAAATCAAATAAAGGTTTCAGCTGCTGTAATAAAAGTTATCTAACCTTTGCCTCTTGGAGACTTGCCTGATATTTGTCTCTTTCCTCTTTGTGTTCCCCCTTTATTTAACCTGTACTGTATTACCATCTGTAGCCTGGCCTGTTTTTCTTGGATATTTGGATAGCTTTGTTGTCTCTAAAACTTTTGCAATACTAAAAGTAAAATTTCTGAACAGTTAGTCTTTAATGTGCTAACAGTATATAAGTTTAAAAGAACAAAAACAAGACCTGCACCAATTCTTAAGGTAATACTTCTGATTTTATGCGTATTAACAAAATGAGATCTTAATGCAGTTATCTGCAGAGGTATTGCTTAGTGTGAATGTTTTGCTGTTTCTCTTTTGGATACAAGAATAACTCCTGATTCCAGGCTCATGTGCCTCTAATTATAGAGGCAGATGAATTCCAATTTTAATTGACCTGTGCATAGAGTATGAACTGAGTGTAAACTCTTGATACAGAAAGGATTTCCTGTCTATTTTGTGAGAGGTATCTGCGGAGGTCACGGACAAAACTCAAAAGTTTTTATATGAAACTGTATGAACCAGTGGAAGGATTGTTTTGGTGGCCAGTGTGTTTCTTAGTCCTGTCCTTCTTACCCCCTCCTTTGAACTGGGGGTGTTGCTCATTTGGGTCTGTGATGATCCGGGTCAGAGAACCATCTGGAAAAGTGACTGCAGGCTTGCCTACAGGAGGGAAAAGAGATGGGACTGAACACTGCTGAAAGGGGCAGTTGTACTGCTGTCGTCTCTGCCTGTATGCTCCTACTTCCCTCTGCTAGCAGTTGTGCTGCTGTGTAGCTGGCAATGTTAGAACAAAAAAGCTGAAAAAGACCATTTTGGGATCTCAGCAAGATCTGTAGTGATTTGGATGACTGCTTTTGCCACCCAAGCAGCTGGGCAAAGCAAAGGTGACAGTCCTTAAGTGATGTTTACAGGGCTTAGCTCATGAGAACTTGCCCTAAGCGCTCTTGCTTTTTTCTTCTCCTTCAAATTGCTCACTTCCACTGCACCTCCTTTTCTAGAGGATTCTTGTGTTATCATTGCACATTACCCTTACCCTTATGAAGTCATTAATGTTAACGTGAAATATCATTTGGCTTTTTTTTTTGGTGTTTGTGTTCCAGACAGATGAAAGGGAACTGGGAGAATACAGCACTTCTGAGTCAGTTGTTGGCAGTGTGCAAGCCTGAAAAGACAAAGTTCCAAATATGAGTCTAGAGTGTTTTACAGCCATTACAACTGGAGAATTTATTCTTTTCTGAGAACTCCCATCTGCAGAATATGAAGATGCCATATGGATGACATAAATATAATAATTGGACTCATTTGGCATCCATGCATTAGGAAAGTCTTTGCAGCCTTGGTCAGGGCTTACACTGCTGTTAACAAAAAGACATGAACAAACATATATCCAAATGTGACTGAAATGCCTTGGAAATAATTTTGCCTTTGTCCCTTTAAAATTTATGGCTCAATTACATTATAACTTTTATTTGCTATTCATTATAATGCTTTACTCTTCAATTATTTACAGTCTATTAAATTGTGATAGATGTTGGGTTTTTTTGCAGTGCGCTTTTCCAGAATGCAAGAATAAAACTTAATAGCTAATTAATGCTGTCTGCCCTTGTGAATTTAGTTTTATTACTGTATTTAATTTAGTGGTGTCTCTGTTGGTATTAAAGCATTACCTAGACAACCACATGAGAGATGCTGGATTAAAACCCTGCTGAATAACAATGTAAAGATTACATTAGCACTTACTTTTAAGTAACATTCAAGACTTCTGAGTGCAGAAAAAAATCACAAAATAGGATTTAACATCATGCGCGGTAACAAAATTGTAAGCCATGTTTTACTGGTGTTAGATTTCATAAAAACTGTGAACTGAATATTGTATTGAAATCCTATCTGTTTAATCATAACCATACCCAAACAGAAGTGAAAGAACTGCCATATCTGTGTTTTTGTATTTTTTTTAATGTAGTTGCTGATGAATGTTATGATTTTAAATGATCTACAGTTTTGTTTTCTCTTCCCTTTGTTTATAGGAGGAGTTTGGCTACAATGCAGATACACAGAAACTTCTAGCTAAAAATGGAGAAACTCTTCTTGGGGCTATTAACTTTTTTATTGCCAGTGTGAATACATTGGTGAATAAAACAATTGAGGATACATTATTGACTGTGAAACAGTATGAAAGTGCCAGGTAGCTATTCTATGTCTAGCTATTTTCATTACAAACTAATCTTCAGGAAACAGACTTTTTATCAGACTTTTAATCCTTGTATTTGAGTGACTAACCTGTCAGATAAAAACCTTCTTACACAATTCGCATGTAATGAGGATTTACAGTTACCTGCTTCATTGCACGTATGTTCAAATGTTTTGTAAATGTGCTGTTGTAGACTTAATTTTACTTGTTAGCTCTAGGAGTAATTGTAGCTATTTTTTCCTGTGTGCTGGATTAAGGTGGCTTTCTAGGCAGTGTGACAGTGCAAGATTAATCCTTTGATCCTGCTGCATTGTAATAGGTAAAATAATCTCTTTGACTGAAAAACATTTATTTTGTGCTTCTGGTGATGCACAATATGTGTAGTTCACGCTTCAATTTTTATGCAGAAATTGCAGGCTTGGTCAGAAAGGGGAAAATAAAAATCAATTTCTTAGTGAGTGAGTAACATCTAGCAGTAGATAATGGGTTTCCTGCCCGGGAGAAGGTTACTTTTGGATGTAGCATAGTTCCATTTCTGCCAGGGTTTGGACATGTGGTCCTTTCTGCTCCCTGGTTCCATTCTGACTTTCTTTCTCTTAACAGGATAAAGTGTGTTTCTTTTAATTTGCCAAAGGATATAGTTTATGCATAAACTTTTGGTGGACATTTTTCTTTAGGTCAAAAATTGCGACTGCTTGAGTTTTGAAGTTCTTTCCCCCCTTTTTTTAATTGTTCTGTTCTAATGCTTATTTATAAGCAAAATAGTAAGGCATGAAAGGCAGAATTAATATGAATATAACATTGCTTTATTTTTGCCATTAAAGTATTTAAAAAATAATTGGTTCACACATTTTCCAGGTATCCCCTTGAAAAGTTATACAAAATACATCTGCTACAATTGTTCTTGCCAGTCATTTTCAATATGTGGTTCTTCCCTCCTGGAATACCTTCATTGCTTTCTCTTTCTGTTCATTAAAGAAATAAAGTATTTTGCCATTTTAATAAGGCAAAGAAATGGCAAAGGTTCTTCACTTACATAGCCAGTCCATCATTTTGCAATGTGAAAATAGGTCACATTTATTTCTGTGCCTCTTCTTCCCTGACCCCAGTTGAACTTTAGCATTCATCTGTTCCCCTCTTCTGTCAACTCTCTATTGGTTTGTTTCCTTTTTGTAATTAAGTCATAAACTATTTAAATAGAGCCTGAATCATACTGGTGAGAGAATCAGGAAGAGCCCTGTGTGAATATTACTCCTTTTACCTCTGGAAATGTAGTAGTTTAATTTTGGAGCAGTTACACCATCTGAAAAGTTGGGGTTTTTGATAACCAGTTTCTAAACCTGATTTGTTTGCCGTTTTAGAAATGTCCGTGAGAAAGCATATTTGGAAAGCCAGAAGAGGTTGGTTTGTTCCATTAAAATTAGCATCCATCACACGCTGATATGCTAGGTTCCATTAGTTGAAAGCTACAAAGAAATATGGAAGGAAGAGTGAGGCTTTGGGCAAGGCTGCCCATGACCTTGAAGTGATTTCTGGCTATTGTCTGCTTTACCTGGTCAAGTGCTGGATGGCTGTGAACAAAGGAGCACATGTTGTATAAGAGGAGGAAGAAAAATCTTAGAGGCTGTTAGTACATTTGTCTCATCCACTTGCAGTAACATTTTAAAATATAAAAATAGTTTTTCTGGCAAGGGTCCAGCATTTGGTAGACCTGCATGTAACACTGGAAAGCAGAGGATTATTTTAGTGATACAAACTGCTAACATTCCATAGGTGCTTCTTCTACTTTTAAATGCTGTATGTTGATGAATAGAAAGCTTAACTTAAATAAACTTTATTGGGGGAAAAAAAATTACTTGATGTTTTTGAAGACAAAACTGAATATTCAAACTTCTGTATTAAAAAATATTTTAAAGACATTTTGATTTTTTCCATTCAAATGAGAAAGAAGGTATGACTGGTTCATCTCCATTCATATAATAAAATGGTACAGTCTAATACAGAAAGATATCAAGGAGGTTTATAACTTTTTTAATAAATAGTGGTATATGAAGACTAGCTGGTTCAATTAAAAAGTTGTTGGGTATCTGCAGGGAAGAGCCTGTATCATAACATCAATTCCGTTCTTGCTAGCAGTATCCAGGATAGGTAATTTGGAGAGAACATGAGTAAATTAGAAAAATACTTTTCATCTGTCTTATCTAGAAGTGGGATATATATACACCTTTGGTCCAGAGTTAGCTTAAATACCTACCCGGCTGTTAGTCTTAACCTTCTGTCTTTCTCTTCCCTTATCTCCTTCAGTCCTTCAGTAGTGGTATTGATCCAGAGAGTCTGACTTTCCTAGGAAAAGAAGATAGGCCCTCAGTAGAGTATAAATAATGCATCATCTTTTTGCAGCCTGTTTATCCATAGGGCGGATGAGTTCTTGCAAAACTATTTGTCGAAGAGCTATAAAACTGTTCCAATTAATGCATACAGAGAAGGCTAGAGCATGCTAAAAAAGCCTTGGGACAGAGTTTGGTAGAAGTGAGCCATTGCTCAAACATCTGCTTAAAGGGGACGTCCTGCTCTTGGTGCTTCTCTTGCTTTCGACACAAACTCTTCACTGGACTGATTCAACAGCAGAAGAATCACCTGAAAAAAAAATTACTGGTTTTATCAGTTAATAAGCTGAGGTGTCCCACAAAAGGCTTTGACCACTGAAGCCAGCGCAAAACAGGGTTGGGAGCATGTGGCTGAGGCAGGAACAGAAGAGGGAGGGTACTTGTCAATGCAGCTTTTATTTTTTTCCATACTTGACTGTTTTGTTTGTCTTCTATTGTACTCCCTGTATGTGAGGTCTGTTTTGAGACACTTTGCCTTTAGATTTTTTTTCCTCCTCCTCTTTGTTCTCAGGATTGAATATGATGCCTATCGAACAGACCTAGAAGAGCTGAATCTTGGCCCTCGTGATGCAAACACTCTGCCAAAGATTGAGCAATCACAACAACTGTTTCAAGTGCATAAAGAGAAATACGATAAAATGCGTAATGATGTATCTATCAAATTGAAATTTTTGGAAGAAAATAAGGTAAGCTACAACATCTGTTATGTTTAGGAGTTTTGTCCTGCAGGTTTCTGCTTTGCTAGAAATACCTTAGTTGTTAGATCTTAAAATATATCTTAATTCCAAAGCAGAGTGAGCAAAGATAATAAGCTGAATTTTCTCAGTTCTTGCTGTATCACTGGAGGACAGACTTTCAGAGAAGGCAGCATTAAAATTCCCTAATCAAGCTGCTCCAGCTACAAATGGCAAACTATGGCAGTAAGTTTCTTATTGATATAGGAGGTTTCAAGTTTGGAAAAGCATTACTTTTCCAGTTTATCACATTTAATGGTTAAATGAGTCATATAACTACTGACTTAAGATTCAAATTAATACTTACCTTTGACAACACTGTAATGGAGGATATGCACAAAGAATGTGTGAGAACTGTAAAGAGTCTTCTTCAAAATTAAGCTTTCTTTAATAACTTGAACTGAGAAGTACAACTTTCTATAATTAATGCCTTTGTAGTTTCTTAATTCTAAACAGGGCTCTTGAACTGTTGGTTTGAAGGGTTTATTCCAACTATACCACTTCATCTGTACCCTCTTAATGATGGAGTTCTTACCTCTCTTATTCTGCCTACCAGGCAAAATAAAATTGCCATACAGAACACACTTTTAAACTGTGCTTTCGTTGATAAACAAGTCCTTCTAAATTGTTTCTAATTAGATGTAAAAATGATGGTCTTTCAAGATCTGGTTTTTGTTCGTACTCATAGTAAATGAAATGGTTCTAATGACCTATGAGTGTATTTCCTAGAGGGAGGAAAATATGATCAAAACTTACATAAAAGATAGTAGTTTGTCAGTTTGTCCATGTCTAGCAGTGGATTAACATTTTCAGTATGTGTTAATTCATATATATTAAAGATCTGAATGTAGGTAAAAGCTGCCTGTCAGAGAGTACAGGAGTGGTGCCAAATGACAACAGTAGCAAACCATGTTCCTTGCATGGAAGGAGGAAACTTTAAGGCAAGATCATGGGGAGAAGCTAAACTAATTAAAAGTGATTATTATTCAGAATTCTCAAATATATTATCACATATGCAGCTGAATGAAGATGGAAGGCAGGGAAGAAACATGAACCATCAACAGATGAGAAGGAAAAAAGTGGAGAAAACCAACAAACCTTTTGGTTGCCAAAACAATATATGCTAAAAATGTAGCTCCTGAGCACAGTTACTTCATATAGGCATTTGCGTTAGGACCAGAGGTCTGGAATCACATAGCCATTGAGAGCTGATGAACCAGGTAATCAGATGGTTAAAGCCTCATATTGCCCTGACTTTCATTTGTTGTTCTTGCTGAACTTGTAGCCCATTAACTTTCAAATGGAAAAAATCCATATTGAAATTCATTTTCTTGAACAAACTGAAGTCTAATCTAAATGCTGATGCTTAAGTAAGAAAATGTGTTATAGGACTGTGCTAGGTTGAAAATGGGTATACGGGCGGTGTCTTTTTTTCCCCCCTTTGTTTTCACCTTCCAATAAGTTGTTTGTTACTAATGTAGTGTACTTCTGTTGAAACTGTTTCATCCTTCAAGCTCTTATCTGTACAGGAATACTGATGCTTAAGTTCAAATTGGTTGAAAATAGCACTTACCTTGTTTCCTCTTGTTCAGCATTAACTATATAGCAGACTGATCAATTTATGTTGATACAGACAGGAAAGCTTCAGAGTGAAAGCATTTTATTTCCATCTTGTACAAAAAAAGTTTTCGTATTTTTTTTAAAAAACTAAATTATATAATTTAAGGAACACTAATGAAGTTGTCTTCCTAGTGACAGTCTTGAATGAGGTCAAGCATCCTGTTAGCAGTCACAACCTCCAAATTTTGTTTCTGAAAAAGATTGTTTTTCCTTCCTGCCTTTTCTTTTAGTTTAATACAGAGGGGACTTTCACATGCTTGAGCCTTTTTATCACTAGTTGACATTTCTGAGTTTTGACACTAGAGATGTCAAAATATTTACTAAAGGGTGGATGTAATTCTGTTCCCAAATAAGCCATAGAAAGGGCTTCCTTTACAGTCAAATATTGGCTTAAATATAATTATCTGCTGAGAGCTTTACTTGGGCAAGCTTTACTTTGCTGTATTCTATTTACTGTATAGGATTCTTCTTAGTAAACAATGTGTACTCTTAATCCTAAACCTAAATTTTCATTTCATGAGTACTTCTTTTTCAGCTTGCATCTGTCTGATAGTTTTTTTGTTCTTCTGTTGCTCAGATTGCTTCCTGGGGTATAGTGGGAGGCGCTGGTTATCTGAGAGATGATGTTCTTACCAATCTGACATCTTTATTCCATTTTTTGGTGTCACCCATTTTTTCATTAATGTCAGTGGAGGGGAACTCCTGTTAGACCTCATACTTGTCGTGCAGCTAGTATTAAGAAATTGGAATACATGATTGATTTGCCAGACAACTATATAACCATTACAAACATTACTTTTAATTTTTAGCCATATACAAAGTGTATGTGACTGCTCTTTAAATCAATTACTTTTTTATATTTTAAAGGATTATTAACTCAGTAAGTATAGGATCAGTAAGTATAGGAACTAGGTTTTAATTTCAGTTAGATTTAATAGTCTCAGATGTTCTACTTTTTCCAAAGGTAGACAGTAACAGTTGCTATGGTCCATCATAATTTATACATCTACAAATAGTGGAGGAAGAGCCCAATGGGTACAGATATATGAGTGTGTCTGTAACACAGCTGCTTCAGCTGTGGGAGTAGTGCACTGTTTAGGAGATGGCTTAAACTGAAGAACATATCTGATGTTTAACTCCCAAGTGGAGGGTTGATTTTTATATTCTCAAGCTCCTGGGGAGGGAATTTTACTGGTTATGCTGATACTATATCCTTAGCAACAGGAACTTGCCATTTTGTGTGTCTGTCCCCAGGACCATATTGGTGGCCATTTAACGGAAAGGGAGATCAAAATAAAGGAAGATCAGATGGACAAAGTACTGGCTTTACTCAGTCTCTCACAAAGGGCCTTTTTGTCCCTGTTGTAGAAAGCCTGTGTTGTTGCAAGCTTATTGCATACTAGGCAAATGAGGGTTTGTATTTGAGGAGCTATATCAAGGCATGACCTTGCCCGACTCATGTTACAATACACTAGAACATGCAAATCTCTCATCATCAGCTTTATTCATGTGTATTGTCATGGTGCTGAATCCAGATATTAATTAATATTTGTTCTGAGTCTAATTAGAGAAGCCTTTTTGGGTAAGAAAATGGTATGGTAGCCATATAATTTTTCTATTGTAGATTGTAAACCTTTGGGCTTCAAGTCTTGTATATATTGATGTAGGATGTAGTACAGTGTAGTCTCAAGCTTAGTGGTTATTATCACTTCTGTGTTGAAAACAGAATTGTGTAATGAAACTTTGCCATAGCGAAACAATTAAGCAATTTAGGGTTTAATTAAGATTAGATAAATCAGTTCATGATTATCTCCCAATAAATATGTTTTGACCATGTCACCAATATTAAACATTTTTTTAAAATAAATTGTATAATTTTTGCCTGACAAATGAATGTCAGAACAGAATCCTAGATGTTCTTTTGTAAATGCACCTCCACTAGATGTACTCAGTTATGTTCCCACTCAAAAGTTTTGTCTCATACTTGGGTAGGCTTGACATATGAGGAGAGCAGGGGAAACTGGGAGGTGATTCAAGCTGTCACTGCAAAGGAACTATAAAGCCAGTTTAACTGGCTGGTGGGCCCAGGTTGGTCTGTGTTGCTGCAGATGTCACCAAACAGCTATAATCTAGCTGGCCCTGCATTTAGGGGAAAAAAGTCATTACATGGTGGCAATCTCTTTGTGCCCGTTCTCCTGGGTTCATGTTAATATGTCAGTTAAAAGCCCCCAAAGGTACAGAGAACTGAACTGCAGTAAAGCTGGGAACGCAAGTTTCTGTCTGTAAAACCAAAATATACAAGATTTCTGTTCACTTTTGTTATAGCATTTGATCTTGAAGTTAGAACTGTTTTGTTGTTTTTGGTTTTGTGTTTTTTTCTGTGTTGCTGCAAAATTATATTGGTGCTATACCCCGCTGGCAGAGTTCTGTGGAAGTTTGTGGCATTGGGTAGTGAGTGTAAGAACAGCTGCAATCAAAATCTGTAGCTTACAAATTGTTTTGTTTTGTTCTTAGTAAGGATAATGGCCTGTTCCTAGCTTAAAGATTTCTGCCACTGAAAAATTTTTGGAAAGGCTTTATGTTTTTGAGAAAGGAAAAATTGTTACTCGTGTGTACATGTGAGAAATGTCAAATCTTTCTGTGTAAAGAAAGAAACTGAATGCACTTTGTGAGTTGTACTTCAGGAGTTTGGTGTTTAAATGCTTCCTTCTACAAATGAAAGCAATATGCAGTCTAACAGCAACCCAGATGGCATAACTGTGTAGACAAATCCAACCTACAGTATCTTCTGTGTATGAAACTTAAGTCTTCTGTTTAAGGCATGCCTGCATGCCTGTTTTTTATGCTTGTCCACAAAGTTCAGTTTTGTTTTGAGACTTAAATTTGCCAAGTCTATCATGAAGTGCTTACTCTTCTCTTAATTAGGAACAAATACGTGTATGTAGTTAATTAACAAGGAAAAACAATTTTAAATGATGTTCAACTGTAAAACGTGATGGGTTTTTGACAGGCATAGTCATACACCGGAACCTGTATTTTAGCAGCATACCATTAACATTCTTTTATTGAAAGGCAAATCTTCAAATGCTCATTCACTGGAAGAAGTGCTACATCTTAGGGCTCACGAGTTGGCCTTTAGGGCTGCAGTCTCACAGCCACTTCAAGGCTTTGCTGCAAAAAAAAAAAACGTGGTCCCTTCATGCTGTACCCCCCTTCCCCCACATTGCCTTCTCTGTTGTGCTTACAAAAGTGTTTTTGCAGCTGTGGAGAGAATCAGATTGGGGAACTGATCCAGGTTAAAGCAAATATGTTGTTGTCTGGTTAGTTTTAATCTAGATCTGTTCCCTGATCCAACTGACTACATAGCTGCATGAATGTTTTGCCAACAGAGGGCTAAGGTGAAACACAGTGTGGAATTAGGAATCAATGGCTGGATACAGGAGTGGGCAAGGCTGAGATTCTTTCATGGGAAAACTGGTTAGGTTTGAATTTGGCTTTAAATGAATACTTGTTGTCCAGTTCTTGGCTGTGATTGCAAGTGTTTTTGCAGTGGGCATCAGGTGATTTGAGATGTTACAGCTTTTTCTGTGTTCTCTTAGCTGACTGCTGCTTCGTAGTGGAGCTCATAGGAGAGCTGCTTTGTACAGTGTCAGACAGTTTAAGTGGTCTTTTTCTAGAAAATTAAAGTTACCTGAATGAAGCTATGGACAAGAAGTTCCCACTGTCACTTTCGGAAGTCACTTAGGAATCAGCTTCTGAAGGAGGAGAGCAGAAGTTGTAAAACCTTGAACCTCTGCAACCAGTTTGATAAAGATCACAAAATTTACATCACAGTGATCTGGCTTGGGCATAGAACCTCATACAATGAGGTAGCTTTGGGAGTTCAAAAAACCCCACCAAAGCAAAAAATATTTTTTTTCAGTCCAAATCATCTGCCAGTCTGTCAGTTCCTGCCTCTGTGTGTGTGTGCATGCATACGTGAGCCTAGGACTGACCGGATTTATAAAATTATCAGGAGACTTCAGGGCAATTCACAGAAGCTTTGTGTTAAAAACTACCCTAACAAAGAACCAAAATTGTTCCCAAATTTATGAACTTGGGCTGGGAGGGTGGATTAATTACCCCTCTATTATCTGAGTTCCTAGAAACAGTATGAATAAAACTCTAGTAGCATTTTATAATATCCTAGGACAGTGAGTGTACTTCTGTGGAGAATTCCTAGCTTGGATTGCATGAAGTCTTGCTTGTCAATGATGAAAGAATCTGCTCAAGAAAAAGACTGTACCTGCTAAATTTTTTGCTCTCTAACCTTTTAGAAGCAAACCTTTTATGTTGTTGTGACGTTTTCCACTTCTATGATATAATATTTTTGGGATGAAAAAATTTATAGATTAAAAAAATACCTGTATTTATATACATATATTCCCACAAAAAGCGAAAAAGAGGCCATCTCTTATGACTTGGAAAAGCTGAACTATGTTTGTCGAAGAAGTGTAGTTAGCTAAACTCTATATCTCCTAAATGTTAAGAAGTCTATTGTGAATTAAAAAACCATTGTCTCAAGATATGTGCCTGGTGAACTCTTTCTAACCATACATACCTCTTTGTTTTTTTCTTGGAGAGCCTTTTGATGGAATAACCTACCATTTTACACCATTAATGAGGCAAAAAACCTATTCTTTGTCATGTGTTTAGTTGAATCAGTCAGGGATACCAGTTTTCAAATTGTCAGAGTAGCTTAGACCAAAATTTGCGTCACCAGTACTAAGGTCTGTACAGTTGTCAGTTTATAGGCAAAACTTAATTCATTAAATGAGACTACTCAGTAAAAAAAAATAAATTGTTGTATATTCATAAAAGGAATTTAAACTTTTAGTGCTGAAACTTTTATATACACCTGTGTGCATGTGTGCAGACACACATATGCTCAGTCCTTTTTTTGGAAAGTGTTTTATTTTAAAAATATATTATTAAATTTCTGTGTAGTAGTGTAAATGTTACACTCTTCTAGTGTAATAGCCAGTCTAATATGTTTGTTTTTTTCATTTGAGATCTTTTCTTTAAAGCAGGCAGTGAAGTATTTCTGTATTGAGTCACATGCATTTCAGAAAAGCAAGTTAGCCAAATAACCTGTTCAAAGAAGCTGGTCAACTGGTAGGCATAGGCCAAACATGACCCAAGGACAATTTTGTGTCGCAGCATGACAGGAATAGACTGTCCTTTGTGGATTGTGCTGAGAGATGAGGCAGTGATACAAAATTTGAGTAGAGAAAGCTTAATCTGCTACCTACCACATCCTCCCTTTGGGCTCAGTCAGTCACCCTGTTGCTCCATTCCCTTTTATGTTGGCAAGATGCTGTTGGGCTCAAGGTCTTGTAGGGTGAGAATGGGCACAGGGCTGCCACCTCAGGCATCTGAACTCTGACACAAGAGGAGGGTGGTGCTGTGCTGAGCATACGCTCAAGAACCAAAATAAAAAGTTTTGGCTGCAGGAGAGACTGGACAGATGCCTTTTCAGCATACTGTTGTTCATCATTCACAACTTCAGGTTTACTGGTGTGCTAGGATGAAAATGTAGCATCTGTTTAACTGACATTGTCAATGCTATAGCTTGGCATCATAGACTAGACTGGAAGAGAAAAAGTGATGCCCTCTGGCTGCTCTGGCGCTCTTCTCCCCAAGTTTTGGTTACTGCTATGACCTGTGCATTTCATTACTATTTTGCACAAATGGTGAAGTCAAGATATTGACCAACTGCTGTAAATAATCCTGTGTTACAGGAGATGGGCAAGAAAGAGCATCAGTTCAATTTGACTTAGGTATATGTGAGCTGGAAAACAACAGTTCTCTGCAAATGGGGCACATAAATGAACTCTGTACTTAAATAATGCATTTATCATGTACTGTCTCAGGGAAGTCCATTTGGCCTGCAGGTAGGTATCCTAAGCAGAGGTTTGGCATCTAATTTCAAGGAATCAAGTACCTGTAATCAAGTGTCTGATAACATTATGCTGTTTACTGAATTGCTTTTGATCCATGCCTACTGAGTTAGTACTGACTGCTAAGCATACTTTATGAAAAATCTCAATCACTTTCATGTTAAAGAATTTTGTATTTGCATTTTGTATTTGTATTTTTAAACTTTTATTAAATAAACCTGTATGAAGTCTGAGCATCTCAAATACTTTTTTTTTTTTCAACTGACCTGTGATCTTGTTTACATCTTCTGCCTCCTCCTAACCTATCTCTATCCTTGCCTGCAGGTTAAGGTGTTGCACAATCAGCTTGTTCTGTTCCATAATGCCATTGCGGCATACTTTGCTGGGAATCAAAAGCAGCTTGAACAGACACTTAAACAGTTCCACATCAAATTGAAAACTCCTGGAGCAGATGCCCCATCCTGGCTCGAAGAACAGTAATTGGATCAGAGAAGAGGACCCAATGTTAACCTAAAAATCTTTTAAATCTGATAATAATTAAGGATGGGGGTTGAAGGACTGTTGTAGTGATTCTTGCACAGACAGCTTTAATTTTTTCCCCTTTTATAATACTGTAAAACTGAATTTGGTGGGAAAGTGGGTGACTTTAAGGTAACCAAACGTAATTTCTGTAATTTCAAATATAGAGCACTCCTTTTGTATGTGAAGGTTGGTGATTATTTCTGTAACTAGGATAGGGGAGGAAGGGGAGGGAGGGGAAAGAAAACTATTATAGATTTGCACTGACAAATGATGTTTGTGATTTCTGGTCATTTTGGTGGCTAGTCAAAATTTTTCCAAGTGGAGGTTTACGTGATTTGTACCAACATCTGGTATTTTATAGATGAATATAGAAAACAACTTTAGTAATTTTCATATGACTTTTAAAGAGGAGAGAGTTAAAAGAATATTTTGCAGATTAATAATATAAGGCCTATATGCATTATCTGCATGTAAGGCAACAGTAGCAGGTTGCTCATTGACTAGTGGAATTGCAGCAAATGTCTTTTTAAAAGATGTACCTTTCCATCATATGTTAAAAAAAAAAGAAAGAAAAACACTAAAGCAAGAATCACTGTCAGTCTGAGGCTTCTAAGCACACATTTGCTTTGCACCAAGTGGTTTGCTGAGTGTGGCCAACCATGCAATGTACTAATTTAATTTACAATTTTACTTTCTCTGAAACAAATACCGTACTAGCCTTAAATCACAGGTATGTGCCTTTTTATAAGAGAATATTTTCAGCAAGTGTACATAATCCAAGAACCCTTTCACATAATGGTTTGTCAATTCCCGAAAAGGGAAAGGAGACTGTGTAAATGCTGTTTTGTTGTACACTTGGAGCAAGTTAAAGCTTTAGTTAACCTTCATGGACTGGTATGATCTTGAGAGATGAAAGCAAGACAGTGTGGTTTTTCTATTTAATTGAAAAAGCATACTTCAGTAATGGGAGCAATGTGGAGGATACTTTTTTAATTTCTCCATCAATTGTGTAGTCCTTAAATGTAAAATTCTATGTCAATTTTATCGTAGGCATTTTAAATTCAATATATTGGAGTCCTCATTTGCACATGTTACGTTGCTTTCTGTTTATTAAGTAAAATTAAATACTTCAGATATGTTACTTACATTGGTGTGGATCATATGATTTATGTACTGTATGTTCAAATGCCTTTCAGCTGACATTCAAAGTTTTCAGTGCTTAACACAACTGTAATGTAACTGTAAATCAAACTTTTTAATCATTCCTCATTAAATTCTTGGCCTGACAGAGCCTTCTTTTATGTTTTTGTTCTGTCAGAATCTCTTGTAATATCTCTTGTTCATTTACGTTCCCCAGAATGTATATCCTATGTGAATTTTGTATCCATATTAAAGGTGTTTGCAGTCAAACTTCCTTGACTTGTGATGGTTAAGAGTAGAAGCCAGCTTCTGCAGTGAAAGCTTAGTGCTGTTTTTCTGAGCTGCCATCACTGCCTAGGAAATTTCTGGTAAAGCAGTACTGGGTGGTAATAACTGATGCTGTTTTATTTCAGACTTTTTTAATAGTGTACAAGTTCAATTTGAATGTAGACTTGAAGTGAAACAAATCTTTCAGTATATGCAATTCTTGACTTAACCTTTTAAAGCAAATTTCATTACATTTACAACTTTTATGAAGCCATTGACCTTCACTGCTTCTGAATCTCAACATGCATATGGTATGATGGTGCAAGAAGGAAGTTAGCTGTATAACTGTACAGTCGAGCTAGGAAATGCAGATAGCAGCATTATAGCAGGGATGAAGAAAGCAAACCTATGGACTACAATTGAAGTATCACCCTTCAGAACACTGTAGGAAAAGGATACATATGGAACTTCTGCTATTGGTTTTTTGTTTCAGATTCACGCATCTCCTGCTGAGGATAGTCCTTGCCCAGAAGGAAATGATCGGTCAGAAAAGATAAGAGTGAACTTGAAGCTGAAATTGCCTTATGCAGGAATGACCCGTTGGCATTGTGTAATACTCAGACTTTTGCAATGGCTTAAAACTGCTAGAGCCTCTCCACTTGGAAGGTTGGACAAAAGGGATTACTTGCTAAAATCTGTGTATCGTTGAATACCAGCGGGAAGGAAGAATGACTTCCATTTAGCTTACCACAGCAATTGTAATTGATAGCCTCAGTGAGGAGGGTTCTGTGTTTGGCTGATCAGTAGGTTATTAAACTGATTTGTCTTGCTTTAACTTTCTTTTTTTGCCCCCATTCAAATGTACGTGCTTATGAAATAAATCAAGGTCATGTCTTGTATTCAAAGTTAGCTCTCTAGATCTAACCAAACTTAGAAACTTTTGCTTCTGGAGATCATACGAGGAAGACACTTCTGAAGTTTCTAATGGGAAGTAATTATGGTTGTCAGGTTTTCTGATACTAACAAAAAAGCTGTATTAAATATCTTAAGGTTGTAATGTTGGCATTTATCTGGATAGACAGCTGCCCAGGTGGATTTTTTTTTTTCTGTTTGACAAGGGGGCTGTACCCACCTAGTAGAGTCTTGTCTGTGAAAGATTTCATCTCTATTCCAGGTTATCACATTAGTGTTTCTAGTGTTGTGTGAGGTTGCTCAGGAAGAAGAATTTAAAGCAGTTAGTAGCACTTCAGAGATGCTGTTGTAGCTGATCTACCAAACAGACGCAGGGAGCTGTTTCATTTTTCAGTGACTGTTCTGTAAGTTACCTGCACTCCTGGCTTGTTTCAACCTTGTAGCTCCTGCTATTTTGTTTGTGTGAATTCTGCAAACAGCTTTTCTGCTCTAAAAATGCTCATTGGCATACCTCATGCTTTAAGCCCTTACAAAGAACCTTTCAGGTTATAGAATGTATCTGTAGTTGTATGTTAAGAGAGATCTACCTGAGTACAGTAACGCACCAGTATCGTTAAAATAACAGCTTGATTTCAATCTTTTGTCAACTGGTTTTTCCAGCAACTTTATCTCGTCTCTGCTTCAAAAAATGTTCAAAGTAGTATAAAAGCTAAATGTTCCCCTCAATTCTGTTTTGAACTGAACCAGGGGCATGTTCAGTTTGTATTCTTGCTTATCTGCTCTTGTTCCTTATTGTGGTATCACAAGAATAACAAAGTATTATAATTATTTAGCATTCCTCATCTGCAATTATCTTTAGGGTTTTTTTTCAGTCTGATTATCTTTTCCATGCTGCATGCCTGATGTGGAGGTTGTACTAGTCACAGATTTTTTAATTAGTCATTAATCTTTTCATATTTTGTGATTGCCTCCACGCCAGACTTATCCAACTACTGGCAGCTGAGTTGTGTCAAATTGAAAGTTTATTTTTTTGATTAGAAGATCCACAGAGGAGTTGACTGTTGTTTGTTTTGTATTTTTCTCTGTTCTCCTTGTTAGTAGTTCTTTGTGTTCTTTCAGGTTGTTTTGGTGTTACAGCTAGTGATGCACAGCAAGCGCAGTTCTGTGCCTGTGACAGCAGTCTTGTTCACCTCACTGCACCAATTTTCACCAAGGTCCTTTCTCTTCATTTCTGTCAGTCTTGTATGGAAACCAGGTGGCCAGGTAGATCGGGTGTGTTTACACATTTTTGTCATCGTGGCAATAGCGCGAATTAAGGAAGTACATTACCCTGTAGCGTAAGAATAGCAAGTAGGGTGGCTTGTGCCTGCCTTGGAGAAGGGCATAAATTGATGGAGCAGCAGTGGAAAGGAAAAGTGATGTGTTGCGGTTTCATCAGAGTCTGTATACTCAAATGCAGAGAAGCAGCGTATGAACCTTGCAGAGCAATGGCCTTGGATGTAAAAGCTCAGTCTATGGTTTGCAAATCTTTTGTTTCCTACAGCTGAGAGTGCTGGGCACAAAATCATTACTTTTTATGCTTCAGCTGCCTTTCTAAAAAAAAGTTTTTGAAGAAGGGGGCAGGAGCAACAACAGTTCTGTGCTGTCCACTATTAGTAGTATATTTCTGTTGAGTACTTATGCTCAGCAAAATCTACCTTCAGCTTGGTACAGTTGCTGTAGGTGAAAAAACTTCTGTTTTCTGAGCAAACACACTCTCATCTGCTTATAAGAACGCATTTTAAAGATAATAGCTATTGGAAGAATGGAAATACTTGATATTCTAGGAGAAGCAGAAAAAGAGATCAAGAGTATCTTTGCAGAGTTCCCTTGCATCATCGGTTGGTAGAACTTAGATGGGTACGAGTGTGGCTGTATGATAACATTTCTTAATTAAGTGCAGAGATCAGATATAGAACAGTGTTAACCTGAAACAAATTTTTAGTTTCGGGTTTGCCCTGTTATTATTGTTTATGCCAGCAGAAATCCATTGGTTCAGTCAGGAACAGTGCAGCTATCAGCAACGTGTTCCCAGTAAATGGTACTTAACAAATGGTATGTCCTACTGTGCTAATTAAAAAAAATAATTATACACCTTGCTGCCTTTTAAAGAATACCAAAGGCTGTAAATTCAAGTACTTAAGAGTCAAATAATGCTAAAAACTAGTGTTGCCTGTTCAGTCTTGATTTGCCTTTCTGACATGTGTGTATGCATCATGCTAGTTTTATGTGACAGTGGTAATTAATTGCAGGGTTTTGTTTGGAGAGGTTAACTACCACAGTGCTTAATTTTGAAACCAAAAAGAACTTGGTTTTAATGTGACTGGAGTGTCACAATTAACTTTCTCTCCGGCCTTTGTCCGAGCACTGTAGAAATGAGGGTTTGTAATGAAGATGATGACACCTTTTGTTCAGGTGGTATAAATTGCTTTCTTCCCATTAGATCTGTTCGGTCATTAAATTTGTGTTCAGCCTAAAGCAATAGAAGCTCTTTGTGCTCTAAAAAAAAGCAGAGCTTACAAAAGACATTTTTGTCTCTCATAAGAAAAGAAAAAAAAAAGGTAATGCCTTAAAAGAAGTACTAGTCATCTTGAAAACTGTCTTGAGCACAACTAGAAATCTTACAATATTAACAATAGGATTTGTTCACAGTATACCAGCCCATCTAAATGCTATCTGTTCTAGGGAGGTGCATTTGTTGCTTATTATAGGTGGGGCTGCTCGATCTACCTATTATTAAAGTTGCTTAATACTTCCTACTGTAAAGACCTGTTTTCAGTTGTTTGTAGCTCGGATTAATTTTAGCCATGTGGAGAAAATCTTTCCCTGCTGAGCATTCACATTTTTAGGAGGGGAAAAATCAGCTAAAAACTTGAAATTAATTTGCTGACATTGTACTTTGGAAAAGTTCTGGGGGGAAAAAAAACCCACAGGGTAAGGGAAAAGTTGAGTTTGATTTCACATCTAGACTGGCTCCCAGGTCGTCTGCTGCCCTGTTCAATTTTTGGTTTTTTTCTTTTTAATACAATGCCATTACGCAGTCTCTTGTTTGGCTTGCTCTTTCCATCTTTTGGAGTGAACATTTGTGCTCAGGACTGGCAGAAATGAAAACAAGCCTCTTTGGTTCCAACACAAGCAGCTACAGTCCAAGTGGCAATGCACTTCCTCGCTGACGACCTCGGGGCTGACCCGACACTCTCGAGGAATGTCCATGCTGCGGAGCGTGTCCTGCCCAGCTGCCGCTAACCCTGCCAAGCGGAGATGTGTGGCGTGATGGGAATTGCTGCAGCTCAACTGTTTTCACTTGGTGAATTTTGAGCTCAAATGACCAGGTTCTGACATTGCATTCCATAAATTTTCCTTTTGTTCTAATTTTTTTTTTTAAATCTAGTGAATCGGACAAGCTGCCTTGCCCAGATCTCTGCCCACAGAACTGTAAGCTGGGATGGTGCAACCTCAGCGACCACGGGCCTGGGCTCCCGCTCTT